CTCCAGTTAGGACATGCATTCGCTAAGGCACTGTGATTTAATTTACTTGTTGGAGATTATGTTCAAGTAATAACTCCGGTCGATATTTCACAATCTCAGGGGCAGAATATGCAGGGAAGACAAGCTTAATACTTGAGAGTGCGGCGGGTTGCGTAGAGCTTCTGGTCAGAGGCGTTTGCGTCACAACTGCATAAATCAACGATGTCCCCAATTTGCACACATGTGGGGACTGACATACACACATTCCAATTGTACTATGCATATAACCTTCACGCAAGTGCAAGCAAAAAGTTGACAAAGTTTAATCGCAATCGGATGAGCGGTACGGCATTACATAAAATACGAACAATGATTTTTAAATATTAAATAACAGCGTTTATTTCTCAACAGAACATCGCCTAAATCATTTATTTCATCAATTCTTAAATATTTCTGTGATCAGAAAATAACTCCAACTTTTGCAGCAGTTTGTGAGCACTTCCATATTCCGCTTGTTTTCAGAAACTTAATAAAATCCATTACCTAATACTTTTGGAAGCGGCTGGATGTTGAACAAGATTGGGTTCTTTATTCTTGTCTTCTAGGTCACCTTATATTTTATAATAGAGGCTAATGTGCATTTCCAAAACACCAAGTATTATTAGCTTAACACATGATTCTATTATTCTACAAAAAAGGAGAAAAATAATTTTTTCGCTGACGTTTCACAAATACTGCCTCAATGAACTAGGAAAATAGTATTTTCTCAGTTACTTTTCGCGAAAAAATTACTTTGAGAGTAGATTTTTGAATCCAGGATCAAACCATTCACAGCTTCTTACTAACGTATCAAACCCAAGATTATTCCGAATGAGCAAGAAAATAATTCTGAATTATATAAAAGACATTTTTACTTGTAATGTCTACTTACTTTTTTATTGAGCTTTTTCGCACAATGCAACATGGCGTTAAATTCCGTAAGTCTCCCTAATGGAAAAGAAACTAAATGATATATTTGTCAAAAACGTAAAAGTGTAAGCAAGCTGTATTCATAATTCAAATACTTTAATGTAACGTTAATTAAGGTCTAAAATGTCGTCTCTTCACTCTATAGGTACCCACTTCCGTGTGCGTATCCTTCAGAGGAAATTGGTCACATTCCATGCGAATTTTAGTAGTTGCCAGCCAAAGTATTATAGAATGTTAAATGTTCACTTATGAGATGAGAAGAAAATGGAAGTTTTTTATTAAACATTTAATGACAAAAATACAAACCCTAATATCTGTGAACTGTGCAAATAATGTGTGGGTCGATTTACCAACTATCCAGTCACATTCCTATATGAATCCAGTCCAATTCTTATATGAATGCTTGTTTAGTTATCATGCGTAAACCTTCATTAACTATATAACAAACTTTGTGTTGAATTCTCCAAGGTACACCTACATCAATTCAGTTCCACTCAGAACAGATATGTATTGTATGCACCTTCGAATAAAAAAACTAGGTGCTAAAAGAGCACGTACTTTCTCGCCCGTATTTTCAAGCACAATTACGCAAAAATTACTCAATTTTTTAAAAAATTTGCGCATGAACTTATTTTAAAAGATTTCACTGAGGGGAAAAATATCTTCCTTTAATATTTTAGTAAGAAGGCACTGAAAAAAGTTTGAACTTGCAATTTTCGAAAAATAAAGCTTTTCAACGAACATGAGACATGCATTAAACGCTTTTCATACTATCCAACAACAAATGTTCCAGGGGCTTCATGTAAAGAACCCTCCAAAATCAAAATATAGATTCCAAATTCAAGGAGCCGCGACATCAGCCAAATCGACAGGGGAGTATCAGTTTTGGAAAAAATCGACTGAACTTTAGCCGCTAACGTTGTTCACAGACGGGTGGACTTTTAACCGTCATTCGATTTTTCGGTATCAAGGACCCACAAAACATGCATTCTGACAGCACGAGTGCTTCCCCCCTAAATTTAGCAACTGGATTTATCCTCTTTTTCGTTACCAGGGCTTTGTAACAAAGTGTTTGTTCTGAGGAAAATTCGCCGTTTTTCCGCGCAGCATTACATAACTTCTCTACCCGTAGCGAGAAAGTAAAATGAATTGGAAATTAAAAATTATTAGAAATTTACATGCAACATGTTTAAAGACATCAAAGGCTCGCATGTGTTTTACAAAAATTATGGTCACTAGCTGAAATTAATTTTATGGTGCATTAAAATACTTTGTCAATGGCTTCATGTAACAATAATACAATACGCGATAATAATACAGCGAAATCTCGTGTCTTTCTAAATAATCGATGAAAAATACAACCTGGAAACTTTTAAAACGTCGACAGGTCAGTTCAACTAATTATTACTAACAAGTAAAAATATTTATACAATTAGAGCGTTGCAATAAAATACAAATGAAAACATTAAACCCGAACTTGAAAATATTTATTTTTTCAGTATTATTTACATTACTGCAATTTGAGAGCGAATTATATAAACGACGAAGCAATATAAAAAAACGGGGCGATGTCACGTGCAATTAAAATGTCGAATTTCTGTCCGCTGGGAATGAAAGAGGCCTCCAGCTGGAATAAAAAAAAGATTGGGGGAAAATTATCTGCTTCATGTTCATTTTTCTTTTGATTTTTCCGGGAATCTCGTTTATAAAGAGTAAGTCCAGTGTCTAGCGGCATTGAGGAAAAGATTACAATTCCATTTTCATACGCGGGTACGTTACACGCTTTAGACTGAAGGTGACGTGGACAAACTTTCTGTCATTAATATCGAAATTAACAGTGAAACACTACGTGTGTAATAACATAATACTTTAAATTTTCCATCTAAAACAGTCAATTTTAAGTATAACATGTAATATTTGACAGTGGAGGGGTGAATTTTCTGAATAAGGCTTCTCTCTATGGCATTTCAAAGACTTAAATTTATTTGCAAATGTGTCGAGCCGAATATTGGCGACCATTCGTTGTACTGTTTAAGTTCATAGTTGTTTTCATTTATTTAAATGTAGATCAAATATTTTGAAAAATGTAAAATGGGCTACCATGTTGGCGAGTCTTCGGGGCAAGGTAGGGACCGCGTGAACGTAGAAGTTGACTCCGATTACCGTAATTAGTCCCTCTGGTAAGTGGAACTCCACGCTTTCTTTTAGCAACGGCAGACCTCGAGACACTCCTAACGCCAACTTCCAGGATAGCTCGAGAAATACAATCATTACAGAATAAAAACTGGGATGTTCAGGTGATTAGTTACCGGGGATCTCAATAGCAAGTGTCACGATTCGTTAGCAAGTTTACTACTTTCATCAGCTTCAGAATTATTAATTATAATTGAACAATCGGCGATCGATACTATGTTGATTCAACTGTACAATGCCGTGATGATTCATTATTCATTGAATTTACACTCGCATTTGTATGTTTATACTGGAACAATAAGAGATTGGCACATTCTACTCGATCAGGTTCAGAGTTTTTATTTACATTATACAACACAATGTTTTCGGCGATTTAATAGCAAATCACTAAATGACAACATATTATTGGATACCGTTTTTTAAAATTTACATTTGTCCAATATAGACCATCGTTCGTAAAAGTGAGCAAATAATATATTAACAGCATGCTGAGTTTCATTAAGATTAAATTGATGTTTAAAGCATTATAGAAGTTGTTCACGAATACATCAAATATTAAAAAATGTAACACCGATTTTTATGTTCTGAATTTATTAAAACCTGACATTTATGCAAGATTTTATTTCGCATTGAAAAAAAAATATATATATAAAAAAAACGAGGAAATGCAGATTTCAGTTCTACCCGACCATCCCAATTAATCTAAGATCGGATTCTGAATCGGAAAAATATTCATTTTAAGAACAACTTATGACAGGTAGCCTCAAACCTCAAACGAGATTAATTTTGAATACATGTCAATAAAGAACCATTCATTTTTTCACCACTAAGGAACTGGAGAACTTTTAAAGCTGGCCAATACATCGAGATTTCGCGACGTTACAACGAAAGTTGGCAATCACTAAGAGGTTCGTTGACGACCGAAGGACGCATTTTGTTTTCACACACGCCAAGACAAGCTAAAAATATCGCAATACACACCGCACCATATTATAAAAACGGGATGTTCATGGCAAAGACATCATATTCTAAGTTCTTTTAATCCTTTAAAAGTCCCTTCGTTCAACATAAATATTTTTCTGAGTTTTAAAATTAAATTTTCTTTCTACAACAATATTTTATAACAATTCCTGCAGACTAAGCCTATAGTGACCTGCATCCATTGCGAGATATGTTAATATAACACTTTATTCAATACTGAATTTTGTCTCCCCTAAACTATTTAATACCGGATTTTCATGAAAAACTCTTAATAAATTTTGTTATTATTGCGTTCATTGAAACTTGATGATGGGAGGATCGTATCCTTTGGATATCGTGGGCTATTTCGCAATTTGGTTTTGTTTTCCCAAAGCCAAATTTACTGGTTCAAGGTGAAGATAAGACGGTTTTAGTTAACAGGGTAATGGTCAACGGGTTTAATGAGCATTTCTCCGTGTATTCGTGCGTTACAAAAAGGTACATAAAAAAATACCCCCCTCTGTTGATTAAACAAATGCAGTCAGGAATTCACTTGAAAACGATTTTACCCTAGTAATGGCATTTTCACAGGACAAAAGATTTAGATCGTGTGTGTGTGTTAGAATTGTCATTTTTAAAAAAAGCTGAAAATTTCTACTAAAGCTTTGAATGAAATCAGAAGAATTGTTCTCTGCAAAAATGTAAGCATAATAGGCATTTTTGCGACAATTTCTGAGATTCCCTGAAATAAAATTCTCGAGTACACACGATATGGATGTTTTTGAACGCAAACGAAGAAAAACATACATCAAGTAAACACATCCATGCGCATGCACGTGAAGCAACATGGATTTTTTGCGAGGCCGAGAACTCTCAGCGGAGGCGGTTACTTACATCACTCGGCCGAACTCGTCCCTCGGGAGCGCGCTGCCGCGGCCGCTCTCGCTGTCCACCAGCATGGTCCGGTACGCCGCCACTTTGGTCTCGATCTCCGACTGCGAGTACCTGCGCATGCCCACACACCACCGTCAGCCACACCAACATAGCCCGTCCGCCACCGTCGCCACACCCGCACCGGACGACACCTCACCTGCACCGATTCAAAAGAACGCAAGGGACAACACTCCAACGCTAATGCCGAACAGCAAAAACTGATTTTACAATGTTTACATTGGGGACTTTTCACCAAAAAACACACCCCTACTCTCCAGAATCAACCTATTCTCACGCATGTAGAAATTACAAGAACAGGTTTTTGAGAACCACTACTCAAAAATGTTGTAGGCGTTTACGGCGCCGAGCAGTCGCTAACTGTGGGAAGGACGCAAGTAGTCGACAGAACCCGGCCCCTTTCCCCCTCTCCTCACGATACTTGAAGTAGAATATTAGATGGCTTAGGCAGCTCCTAACCAATCGATAAGAGGGGAAACCATTTTACCAACCTGCACCGATACCTCACCGAAACTACCGTCGATAGAGCACATTGATCAGAGAAACGCCATTAATCAAGAATTGCACTTGCATTGTATCAGGTCAAAAGGTGATGCACACGTCGCAAATTACTTCATTGGTGTGACAGCGCGAAAAGAAAGGTAGGAAGTACAAGAATGAGGGGGGAAAAAAGGTTCACGTTCGAACATCAATAACATGACACTGGCAGCTAGGAAAACTAGGGTGCAGCGTCGAGGAGCCGACGGCGCGGGACACAGCACTAATACCTGCCTGGCCTGTGTCCACGACCACCGCCTCACGTGTTTTCGCCGAGGCCAGCGTATTTATACACCAAGTACAGAGTGCGCGACACAGCGCCTGAAAATCACACTTGTCACACAGACAGCCGGCTGAGCGCGCAGAAACCTGCAGCCCGATTTCGTTGTGCGATGGACTGACGTGCTCAATTGCTTGGAAGGAAAACATCCCGAAAATCGATTATAAAGAGCAAATAACCACATAAAAAACTGCGATGTCTCTAAATTATGTAAAGCAATGCGAGATAAAGTAAGTGGATCCCTTTCATGTTCGACACCTATGTTCCTTGGAATAGTCAGATATTGAGAGGTTTCCGCGATACAGTGGAGTCCCCCAAAAGTATCTAGTTCCAGGAAAAGGTGTCCGATTTACAACAGCCAGAATCTAAGGTGTTCCAATCAATAAGCAGTGATCGCTTCGGCTCAGGTTATCTGCCTTCGGACAGAATCATGCTACCATTACTTTCACATAGAGCGATGGCATTAATGTAACGTTGTATCAATGAAAATACGATAGGACGATACGAAAAAAAGGAATACAGATAGATTAACTACCAGACAGTAAGAAATATAACAAAATCTCTACAAAAAAGACTTTTTTGAATCCTGCCTTACACCACGAAGAATTATATTTCGAATTGTTTCTTTTCTTCTTACACACCTCTCATCGTTCGAAGAAATAAAAAAAATAGTCAAATTGTGTGATTTGTTGTCAAAATAGTGTAAATAGTGAGAAGGGCGAAAATTAAGCATCTTTAAACCACTGTTTACCCCAGAAAATAAATTTTTTAACTATATGTTAATTCGAACATTTTTAGCGTTCAACACAAGCAATAAAAAAAGTTGTCAATGCCATCTACGGCAATGCTAAGAAAAGCTGGTGGTCAAATCAGAGTTAAACAGTGCTTACATTTGCCTATGAGTACTGAAAATGGAATATTCAATCTGGCTAGACATGGAGGACTGGCTTGCTGGTGCTCATCCAAAACGTTCTTTAGCCTGAGCCTATGTTTAAGATGTCTATTCCCTTTGAAGATGACAGAGCACCTGCCTGGGTTTCTACCGAAGAGTATTGAAGACCGCCAAAGCATTTAGTCTCATTATTTACTAGGCTGATCGAGTGACGCCGCGTCCATGGCGAAGGTGCCAAAGGTTTAGGCACCTTCGCCATGGACGCGGCGTCACCCGGACAGCCTGGTAAATACTGACTCCAGTCGCGGAAGTCTACGCTCTCATTTAGTCTCAGCTGACCCTATAGTGAACACGGTATACGGTCATGTAAGAAGAAATGTTATTAAAATGCCGGGAAGGGGTCCACGTGTTCGACGTGAGTGTCCCCCATGAGGATATCAACCACGGTGGATAATTCTTGCTATGTGTGAAATTACTTCATTTAATATGTTGCTGTGAAAATCCACGTTGTGTGGTCACCAATGCCGAAAAATTTGTTTACGCCTGACTATCCATCCTTCCATCCCTTTCTTCTGCCTGAACAAAAAACCATCGCCTACCCCGTTCACATGATTTTCTAAAAAAAATAACATTCTCCTGTCAATTTGGTCGAATTTCTGGCCTTGCGAATTTGAAACGGACATTTTGATATTTGGTGTACCTTAAATTATGCCTCAAAGAATGATTAAAATTTTTGCTTAATGATAGAAAAAAAAAAAGGTCTATTTTTTTCTTTCAATCATTTTCTCGAATATATCAAAGTATGCTTACAAAAATTGGGCATGTCCAAGTTTGTTTAACTATCCGTATTTTCGAAAATTGCAAAAAAGTTACATTTTTTTCGAGTCTTTAATTAAAATACCGATAGGAATTTTTTTTACTTTCCAGTAAAGGAAGGTATATACGTGGTATATATACGTGGTATATGGAAAGTAACGTAATGCTGCGGGAAAATTATTTCGAGATTTCAACGGAAAGGCACGGTTTTGGGATCCGCAGATACCGAAAATGTGTTTTTTCAAAACGTTTCATCTGCCCGATGGGTGTCTGAACACTACTAGCGCCTAAACCATGAGTAGGATTTTTTTCCAAATTGAAGAAACCCCTGTATATCTGGTTCGAGTCGAAACAGATTTTCAACATTTGGGGATACTTACATAAAGCCCTCCGGACATTTTCAAAATTTTCTCTAAAATGGTTGCATATTATTTCTTTAAATTTCTAGTAAGAATAGAGTAACATGCACTTATGAAAGTGGCATTGGTCCGATTTTCACGGTTAACTCTAAGGTTTCGAAAATTTCATAAGTATGAATTTTTTTCGGTATCTTCCTACAACTATAAAATTAAAGATAGATATTTTCCTTTCAAATAAAATTTGCTCTCCATAGTGAGTTCTTTCTTCAAGGTCATGTACATTTCTTCGAAAATTTTAGTACTCTTCGCGCAATATTGCGTGCCATTCAAAAATACAATAACAAAATTTTCTCAGAAAACGCTCACAATTTTTTTCTTTAAATTTTTGGTACGGATAGAGTTAAACCTACTATACAAGACAACATAAACGCCATTTTGCTCTTTTCTTTTTTCTAAAATTATTTTTTTATCTTCTATCCCATGTCGTTATTGGCGTCAATAAGTTCACATTATTGTATTTATGAGAAATGTGCTTTAAATAATGCCATAAACTTCTTGAAAACTCTACCGTTTTATGTGAAAACTAGCTCAAAACTCTTAATTTTCATAAACACTGAAACGCTATTTTTTCAAAAATTTTTTTTCCCAATGACTTCCTGAAACATTTCGAACTGATAGGGTAACTGTACTCTTTAACATGACGTAAAGTATTTTTCGGTGTTTTAAATTTTTTTCAAAAATTACACAAATGTGAATTTTTGAAAGGTCTTTCACCCTGTTGATATGCATATTCCCAGCAAATTATAAACACTATTGTATTTGTGAGTAAAAGTATTTAAAATGACATCAAATTAAGTTTTTCGAAAACTCCAAAACATTCTGTGAAAAGGAGCTTTAAATTTCGAATTTATAGTAACTCTTAAACTCCAGATTTTTTAAATCAGCTGAAATTTGTGAAAGAAAATTGCCCTTTAGGACGAGTTTATACTGATCTTTAATAATCTCAAAATAATATTTCTGCTCAACAATTAGGAAACCAAAAATTAGGGAAAGTCTGTGCCGTTCTGTAACATCACTAGTTTTTCAATGAAATCTGTTCTTCAATATTAGATCTATAAATATGATCATATTCAATTTTTCAAAATGAAAGTTTTTACGAGTTTTGTTCGACATAAAATAAATTTGAAACATATGTAAACACGATTATCTCAAAAAGTGCTTCCGTTTTTTCTCTCGTATCGAACAATGTAGGTTGTTAAAAACTGCGCAAATTTAATTTTAATGAAATTCTTTAAATTTTTGAAATTGCAAGTTAAATTTTTTCCAGCGCCTTCCTACAATTTTAATATCGAAGATGTAGACTTTTTCTTAACGAAACCTGTTCTTCAAAATTAAATCTTTCAATGCAATATAGATTTTTTTTAATGTAATTTTTTTTGAGACCATTAGAAATAAAGCGAAAAAGTATTGTATCGTAACATGACTACTTTGTTGTTAAAATTAATTGAAATTTTGTATTAAAGAATTTTCTCCTTTGCAAAATAACTCCTGATTTTTATCACAAGCTAAACACACCAAATTTACAACTAGAGTATAGTCCGCTCCGTCGATACTTCCGACACTGTCGGGAATGAGCAGTTCCTATTGTTTTGGTCCTTGGCAGACAAGTAGTACACTTGTGGCTTCGGAAGCAAGCCAGCAAGAACGATTGGCAAGATAATGAATTTTGTCACTAATGGGAAGAAAAATAAATGTGTACCCATCTTCATTCAAAAATATTAACTTGGATTTTGTATCTGAGCGATGTGGTATTATACATCACTGAATTACAAATTTATGTTTACTTTAATACGAAAATGTGCTTATATCAAGATTGCTTGTACTAACTCCATGGTTTAGCCGCGTGATTAAAATTCTTGGCGAGTCCTAATGATGTTAAATTTAAAACCCCCATTCCTATTCTACATCGTTGTAGCGTGTAAAACATCCTCTCCGTGACACGTAGCACGACGGGCATCGTGTCATGCGAGCTCTCGAGCGGTTCCGCGCTGGGCAAGAAAAGCAGATTATTCCATTACGACCCTGCAGGATGGCCCGGCGAGGCTTCGCGGGTCGACGGAGCCAGGAGGCGCCTCCAAATGGCAAAGTCTCCGGACGGCGACAAGGAAAC